TTGTGTTTTTTTTTTTTGTGTTGTTGGTGGTGTTGTGTTTGTACAGCTTTCCAGAAATGGTGCCTATAACTGGCTCCTAAATCCAGATTCAGGCACCTATACAAGTGGCCTGATTTTCGTGGCAGTGGGTGGTTGCCCAGCATTTTTGAAAATCAGACCATTTGTTTGGGTGCCTATATTTGGCTTGAGGTACCTAATTTTAAACACCTACTTTTGAAAAAGTTGTTCTTTTTTTCTTTTCTTTTTTGTTTTAAATTTACTGCTCCTGACAGCCTTTGAGTCTGAAGTTGTCTAGTTATCAGCCAGGACAGCAGATGTATGAGCGTCTCCACCAGCATTCTGTCCATGTGCCTCAGCCCTGTTCTGGAGGGGTAGTTCCTTCTCCATGCTCATTTAGTCCTTGGTTTTCTTTGCTGAGAGAGCTAGCAATCAGCATGGACTGTGAGGTTTCTTTTTTCCTTACTGTGGCCACTTGTCCCCTGAGAACTGCTGAGACCACCAACTCATTTCGTACAGACCGCTGAGCAGCCATCATAGCAATTAGCACTAACGATTTTTCAGAGCGAGCAATAGAGCCCGATGACAATAGCGAGGCTGGGTAGAAGCTGCCATACATTATCCTACTTTTGTTAGTTTCATTTTTCATACTGGGAGATGTGCTTTTGTTGGGGGCCAGCTAGATATGTGGATATGAAGATTAAAACCTTTGAGTAAATGTAGTAATCTCAGCTTTCCCTATCCTGAGTTGTCCTGAAACTTATATTATGTGACCAAAGCCCTTGGCTTTCTCAGGAGCTCATTGTCTGTATTATTTCTACTGAATATTATGTTTGACCTGGTTTCCCTGTTCCATTTTGTTTTGCTGCCTGCTTGAACTCAAACGGTTAAATCAGACTGGAATTGGGGATTGTCCTAGGCAGAAAACAAAACTAGGATTAACAGATCAGACAGCTTCAGGTACCACACCTTCATAGCAACTAAGAGAGCAATGGGGCCATTACTGGGAGATGCTACTTCCAGATGCCAGTGAAATAAACAGGTTTTATTTTGCTAAAGCTGAGACCTCACAGACTATATCAAAGGGAGGGAACTTCAAGTGACAGGGGGGAGGTGACCCTGAGAGTGTCTGTAAAACAGCTGACAGGCTGAGAGGTCTCATTCGGAGGCAGAGGAAGCTTGTTGCAAGCAGTGTAGACTGGTTCTCCCAATTCAGAGATGAAAAGGAAGCCCCAGACCTGCCTGAGCTGTGGACAGAGAAGTTAAGCTTGGGTAAGGGAATATACGTGTAAGTTATTTTATATCCACTTCTCTAAGTTCTGTGAACGTTTCGGGCAAAATACATCATCAGACTGGACACCATGAGCCAAATGCATCCCTGGTTTAAATCCAGGGATGCACTTAGGCTTATGTGTGTTGTAAGCAATGAAAGCCCTACAAAGCGTTGATGGCGGAAATGAATTTGTTTCATTTGAAATTCCTGATTTTGATAAGCTCAGGAAAGTTTAGTAATTGTTCAGCTCTCTTTGCTGTGCCACACAAGCAAATACATATTTATACTTACATCTATTAGGAAAAACAACTTCTCGCCTTCTGCTTTTGGTGTGCCTTTGCCATATTTGCGTAACTCTTCAGTTGCTTTTTGGAGTTGAATGTTTATTTGCTCTTCTAAAGCGGGCAAAGATTTCTAGGGGAGAAAAAACAACAATACTTGTACAGTTTGGACAATTCCATTCTTTGAAAGAAATAGACCATTTCAGAGTGAATCTTGCACTGCCCTTAAAAGTCCAGGTATGCTCTGCAGGCTAAACTAAACTGTACTGAACTGAAAAATCAATTATCCGCCCAGCTCTACACCTGACTGCCAAGCCAAGGCTCAGTATAGTGGACCATATACTTCCAGATTGCCATCAGGCGGGGTAATTAAAGACTATTCATAGAAATAATTTTTAGGGGCTCAATCCTCCAAAACTGCAGGATCGGGTCCTATTTTTTTTAAATGGTTACTCATGTAAAGTGTTTCTTTGTTAGCTTACATTAATGTGTTCCACAAGCTCAGTTGTAAGTTTCTCTGCCAAAATGGGGATAGTAGCCTTGTTTTCATCCAGAAGAACTCTGAAACAGAATAAAGAATACAAATATAAACTCGCATTTGCCAAACAAGAGAGCAGTGTCTTCCCTAGTTCTGCAACATAAAGCAGGTAAATACAGTTTCTTCAGATCAAGCAGGGGAATGCTAGTGAAGGTGCAGCCGTAGCCTCACTACATCCTGCCAAATTTGCTTTTGTGCAAGATTAGATTTGAAATGATGAGCTGTTTGCTGAACAGACTGAGAACAGAAAAAGGTTCAGATCCATAACTTCAGAAAAAGATCATGAGATGAGAATATCCACATTAATTGTTGTATTATAAGAACGTATGTACTGCTATATATGGTAGGGATACTCATTCAGAACCACTTTCGGGTTCAAAAATTCTCTTTATGCATGAAACGCTGAAGAGCAATAGCTTGTGGAGGACAGCGTTCTCCTGACACAGACCATATCTTTTCTGTGAGTTTTCCCATATTTTCCAGTGAATAGAACGATATGCGTTAATGCCCGAGCCAACAAAGCACTTTAAAACAAGTGCTTAACTTGACTCCTTTGGGACTACTTCAGAGTTTACTGGTCACCATGTTTTTAAATGGTTTTCTGAATCAGGGCTTAAATCAAACTTGAATCTGAAAAGAAGTTGCATTTAAGAGAAGTTATTTAACATGTAAACTCTTTCTTGCATTTTGGAAAACACTACCACACAGACAATGCAAACAAACAAAAAAACCCATCCCAAACTAAGCTCAAGAATAATTCTCATTGTGGACCTAATCCAAATCCGATGGGAATCAGCAGGAATCTTTCCATTGACCTCAATGGACTTTGGATCAGGCACTTTTTGGCCTGTTTGAAAACTACCTGAAGTGTTCATGCTGCTCAAAGAATGCTCTCTCCTTCTGGATTGCAGAGGCCAGGGTGAGCTTGTCATGAATATCTTGCTGCCCACGACATTTAACAATCATATAACCCTTCCTTAGGTGGATGACAAGGTTTTGTACGATATCAACAACCGACGACTCAGTTCCTCTGTCCACCAAATCTGGTTTTGTTAGGATCCCTGGGAAGTAATATGATGAGAAGATTAGACAAGCACAGAAATTAATGATGGGAAAGATCTATTGGGGGTATCTAGTCACCCAATGCTGGTCTGTTCCCTGTAACATATGCTAAAGTGACTTCTCCAGTGGTCCTGTAAAGTTTCCCCCCCACTCCCAACCCTTATCTCCTCCCCCCACCTTTTCCAGGAACACCAAATTAATAGCAGTGCTTTTACAATATTAACTTTTAATCTTTTCAGTTTTCAATATATTTATAGCCATAATATCAATGGCGGCAGGACCCCAAATTATGCTATCCCTTTAGATATCGGTTCCCTTTTATCAGTGTGCAAAATTCATGTTATTCCATAGAGCTTGTTTTTTCCTTATAGCAGGTAACTCTTTGCAGGGTTGGGGCAGGGTGGGAAGAATTTAGAACTCTATGACCTAACTTCCCCCCATTTGTATTTTTAAAAGTATGTCTCACCTAGCGTTCTCTCTCCATCAGGGTCTACCTCTTGAGCCATTTTCAGTGCCTCTGTTGTTGCGATATCCACATTACTTGGCACCACTACCAAATTTATAGTCTCTTGCTTAGCAATAAATTTTTTAATTAATTTTTTGATCTGTAATAAAATATGGTAAGAAAGAAATGCAGTAAAGTTTGATTTGACAAATGTCATTGGATGCCAGGCTCCTCCTCATCTGACTAGGTGGAATGTCATACACATGATGGATACAATCATACAATAGAAGCTAATGTGCAAATTTCAGCAGCTGAATTCAGCCTGATTATCTAAAGGTAATCCAAATGTGTAACATGCCCCAGAACAGATTGCTATTATATCAGCCTTGGGAAATTATCATAAAAATTTACTAGGGCAGGTACACAATCTAGTTGATGAATATGCTAATAATATTTTACCTGCATTAGAGACAACCAAATTATATTGTCTAAATGCACAGCTAAGAAATAAAAAATCAAGTTGGATTATATTGACATGTCAAGATCAGATAAAATGTAGAGCTAAATACATCCATCTCAAAAGTGTATCTATCAAAAGAAAACAAAATGTCTTTTCTTTGCCTTTCAATGAGAGATTTGTAAAAGTAAAAAAAAAAACGACATGAAACTTGGCTGTTTCCCCCCCGCCCCCATGTTTGAATCCCAAAGATCAGAGTTTCTCATGGTTTTGTGTTGTGTTGCCAAAAGTTCACACAGCTCTACTTATATTGTATTCATGTCACTATTATCTTATCTGAGTTTCCATAAATCTTCCCTTGTCTTCTATATTTCCCGTCAACAACATTTTCTGTCACGTTCAAAAAGTAAGATGCTTTATCTCCCTTATTTTGCATCTGGAGAACGTGGGCCATTCAGGACAATTGACATGTGCAGCTGGTGTCACACCAACCATTTTATTCTGGATAAAATGAGTAGAGTTGTACAAATTACTATAGTAATTTCATCGCAAAATAAAGTGATTGTTTTCTTGCATTCTGGCTGGATAAGGGAGCCCACTTGTATTATCTTTGACACTGTTGCAATACATGGCCAAACCCTTCTCATTTAATTAACCTTTGATGACATTTGTCAAGTCTTTGCAATTCTCATTACAGCTTACCATTTACATGTATTGTGGAGGAGGTACTAATACACATATCTACTGTATACCACCATCCATCCCTTAAGCTCCTGCTAACACTAGGGCTACATTATAAGTGGCCTTGTTTTTGCAGAATTCTTATTTGAATTAAAAATATTTTAGTTTGTTACCTTTTCTATAATAAAGACGGGAAAATCATCACTCACTTCTACTTTATGCATTCTCTCTTTCACTCCATAAAGTGTTCTACACGATTCAGAAAAAAATGGGTCAAATACTACTCTCATTTACACTGCTGTAAATTCGCAATAACGCCGCTGAAGTTAGAATTTGATCCATTATGTGGGGAAGCACTGAGAGACAGTAAAATTAATAATGGAGCCAGTTTGTCTTTTCCTTACTACACAACATGATCCTCAGTTGTAGAAGAATACACTAGATAGAATGAAACATATGCTGGTCGGCTCTACAGACAAAATTCAGCAAAAGGATAGCTCAAAACTAAAGACATTTCTAAGTGGCCACCACACTTCTTTTCAGCACTTCCTCCATCAATAACTGTCCTGTCTGTTATCTACAACATCTTTAATTCTGGTATGAGCTAAGTGAACTGTATAGAACATTATTGTCTAGATCCTCCAGTAAAACCTTCTGTTTAAGATAATTTGTGCATTAGATCCCTACTAATGTAACTTTACTGTTTCCTAGCTCAGAACATGTATGTGCATTACCTGTTCTCCAATGTCTTGTGGCTGATTCCCCACAGCCACCCTAGCAATCCCTGGAAGATCAATCAGCGTCAGATCTGGAACATTCGGGGAGTTAATTTCTAGGGAAATTAATTCCTGGCTAATGCCCACTCCTTCACCAGCCATTGCATCCTGGGCTACAAAGGAGGAAAGGGAAAGAGAGGAAAAGCAAAGTTTAGAAACTCATCATGGGAATTTCAGATTAGCACATATCAGAACTGGAAAGCTCCTGTTGCCACCTGTTTTTTTTTGTATTTTTAAATTTTTTTTTTAGAAAAGCATTTTGGGGAACAATCCCGCCCAGGCAAAAATCCTATGGAAATCAATAGACTCCTTTTCAGGATTTGAGCCTTAATAAAAATTGAAGAATACATTGTCCGTGACAGGGATCGGCAACCTTTGGCACTCAGCCCATCAGGGAAATCTGCTGGTGGGCCGGGACCGTTTGTTTACCTGCAGCATCCACAGGTTTGGCCGATCGCAGCTCCCACTGGCTGCGGTTCGCCGTTGCAGGCCAATGGGGACTGAGATCAGCCGAACTTGCGGACGCTGCAGGTAAACAAACCATCCCGGCCCTTCCAGTGGATTTCCTGATGGGCTGCGTGCCAAAGGTTGCCGATTCCTGGTCTCTGAATTAAACTTTCAGAAATCTCAATGTACAAAAATCAAATATCTGGAGATGGCTTATAAAAATAATAATATAGTGATACAATAAACTACTTAGCATTTACACAATTGTTTCCTCATCTTCAAAATGCTAGACACGCATTAATTAATTCTTGACAACCATGCAAGGTAGCAAAGGATTATTATACACATTCTATAAATGGATGAAGTGAGGCACAGAGATTAAGTGACCTGTCCAAGGTCATATAGCAAATCAGTGGCAGAGCCATGAACAGAATGGAAGGATATTGAGTGCCAGTACTTTGCTTTAACTATCAGACCACACTGTCTAAATCAAACACCATCTCACAGAAGCCTGCTAGTACCTGCAACTGATTTGTTAATTCAACATAACTACATCATTTCATAGCTGTGTGTTGCTGCTATTTCTTGATACCAAAGTAAATAATTTCTCATGAGAAACCTTCAGATGTATAATTAGCTTATTTGACTTTTATGTCACTTACCTCGCTCCCGTACCAATTTTTTTTTATTATTTCTTGAAAACCTTAGAGAATAAATGTACACTATATGCAGTATAAAAGGAAGGTGACCATGTAGATCACTGTTGTTACCAGTGTTAGAAAATGACCATAAA